ACTTACGAATATATTTGCGTACAGCCAAAAACGAAAAGATATATTTACATATAGAGTGATAAAGTATAATTTTTTGTAATTCTGTCATATTTTGCTGAGAGCTTGTATGCAAATGTATGTATGTATGTGTGTGTGTGTGTGTGTGTGTATGCTAGAAAGCCTAAAGGAATTTACGGGCTATAAATGCTTAATGACCCAAATGCAAACGTGACTAAGATTGCGTAAGCTCAGACGATGAGATGACGAGATATAGGCATGTACGCGAAACCACCAATTTCGATATTAAAGTGATAGACTACTGAAAATTTGTAAGTAGTCGGTTGTTAATTAAGGTCAGAAATCGGATGTTTTAAGTAACAGCCGTATGGCATGCAATCGGTTAGGCAGGCCAGGAGGTGTGTTACTTTCCAAGAAATAATGGAATAAAACTCGTCAAGCCTGTCGAGCGAAGGCTTCGCCCGACCTCTTCCTCTCCACCGAGTCTCCGACGAAGCGGCTGCCGTCGTCAGGCCGATGCGGTAAACGAGGCCAAGTGAATTCGTGTACCAAATCCGCGGATGGATGTGCCAAGGGTGTGATCGATCGAGGCCAGTAGAGCTGTTACCCGCTCTGCAGTCTGGCGATTGCCGGGACTGGGAGTGTAGGTGGAGAAGGGAGGGGTAGAGGGAGTGCGAGTTGTTGCATCTTGTCGGAGGGAGAAATCGATGGAAAGCAGACATTTTTATGGCCACCAGAGGAAGTTTGGGGCTCATGACCAATTGAGTGCGGAGGCAGGCGAATTGTCCGATTTGCCTACTCCATTCTGAGCCTCCCGGTCCTCTTTATCTCTGTTTTATTGTTTCCAGTCGGTCGGTCCGTCGGTCCGTCGGTCGGTCGGTTAGTCAGCCGACCGGCCAGCCGGCCAGCCGGCCAGCCAGCCAGCCAACCAGTCGGCCAGCTTGTCGATGGGAGACAAGACTGGCCGGACGGCGCTGCTTGTCGCCTGTCCGCTTCTGACAATCTCCCCCTCGAGGGGGCCAATGAAACTGTCATTGTGGAGGGACTTCGGACGGCGTGGGCGCTGATCCGAGCCTCGACTGACGGGCCGACTGGGACAGACTCGTCAGTCGAGGCTTCCCTGCAGTCGCGAACCCCTCAAGCCCTCCTCCGGCCGGCGACGTTATCGTGGCCCAGGCTGGCTCATCTGCCTGCGGGGGGAGATGTTGGCAGGTGTCGCGAAGCCGTCGGTTGTCGAGTACTGTGAGACTCAAACGCACACACTTCGGGGCCGAAGACGGAAAATTGTGGGTTCGATGGAGGATGAGGCAGCGTTTTAGGCTAGTACAGCTGTTCTATTACTCTCGTTTTTGACACTAAACTCCTCATATTACTATGAGTCTAGTGAGTAATATATACGAAGAAAAGTTGGGATTCGAGGAATCTCTTGTTTCACAATTGCTGAGCTTACTTCCATTTCGAGTAGATGTGTTGGGTGAAAAGATTCGAAGGTCGGTTCCACCAGAAGACGACGGCGGATTCCTCTTGACCAGCTGTCGAACTTTACTGGAAGATTCATGCTGACGCTGTTTCCGAGGCAATCTCCTTCGATTCCGGTGAACCCGTGCTGGCTTAACTAAAAGATTCATGTTGACGCTGTTTCCGAGGCAATCTTCTTCGATTCCGGTGAAAAGGTGCTAAGCTTTCGTCCGTCATATGACGAAGAAAGCTCAGCACGTGTTCACCGGAATCGAAGGAGATTCCCTCGGAAACAGCGTCAGCATGAATCTTCCAGTAAAGCCAATCGATCATCAGAGCGAGGTAACATCGTCACAACAAAATTGAAGCTTGCGAGTCAAGAAAACTCACCGGCAAATCCCTAAAAAGTGGTATATATACTGAACAAAATTCAAGCCTACGAGTCAAGAAAATTCACCGGCAAATCCCTAAAAAGTGGTATATATACTCTACTGCTTGACGGACGAAAGCTCAGCACGTGTTCACCGGAATCGAAGGAGATTACCTCGGAAACAGCGTCAGCATCGTGCATAAGCGAACACAAACATGCACATACAAATACATAGACAGACACACCTACATGCATAGAAGTTGACATATTACCTTAACTAACCAAATCACCTTATACTCGATCAAAGCGGCCAGATGTAGAGTATATATACCACTTTTTTGGGATTTGTCGGTGAGTTTTCTTGACTCTTTAGCTTGAATTTTGTTGTGACGATGTTACCTCGCTCTGATGATGTCCGT